TAACGAACAGGATTGCTTAAAAAAAAAATTTGAATACAACGGCTAGTCAGCTAGCCATTGTATTCAAATTTAATTTTTTTTAATTTTTTGTTTTTTGGTTTTTTGGGCCAATTTTTTTTTTTTCCTATAAATACCTAAACCATTCATTAAACTTAAGTTCTATTTTTTTGGGTTTTTGGGTCAGTTATCGTTGTAGTTTTTAAATTAAAATAATAAATTATGTTTGGCCGTATGGCTCTTTGGCCCTCGGTTGGAGACAGTTTTTTGTGATAGGGCTAAAACGAGCCCTATGGCCCTTTGGCCCTAGGTTGGAGACGGAGGCAAATATGACTCTATACTATTCATTAAAATATTAATTTCTTGGAGGACCAGAAGGCTAAAACGAGTCATTTGGCCAGCCCTCGGTTGGAGATGGCCTTAGTCAAAGTATCTTTCAAATTTTACTTTTCAAACGAATTTCTCTCTTTAAAATCATTATTGGCAAAGATTAGCTGGCAATCGATCACACAAATAGAGAGAGAGAGAGAGAGAGAGAGAGTAGTAACTTTGTAGCCTTTGTGTGCTTTAAGGCTGCCCACAGGCATTACACCACTGCATGCTTTGTTTAAATTCTTTTGTGAGCTACTTATGGATGGATTTAGATGGAGCTTTTGGAGATAGATACGTATAAATGGAATGGTCCAATATCCGCTATTATTTTGGATGATTTTGTAATGTATTCTAAAGTCACTTGGTAGAACTTTAACTTTGAGCCGAAATTTGGGGTTGGGCTACAATGGTACCTATACAGCCTTTATACAAGATTTAATTGTTGTAAAGATTTATTAAATTTTTTATATGCAAAATTTAACTTTAATTTTACGATCACTCAATGTTACGTAACATAGAAGAAAAATGACGTAATATGATACGAAAACTTTAAAGTTTTCATCCCAAATAGTTAATACAAAAGTTGCAATAATATTTAGTATTATGGAGTATAATCTAGTGATATTTCTTTTCACTTGTAAGTAAGAGGTCTTAGGTTCGATTCTCACTAAAGACGAATTTGAATCACATTATTAATAGCATATTGTGAGGCTTAGCCTATTTTCCCATAATATAGTTTCTAAAAAAAACCGCAATAATATTTCTATTGCTAGCTTTAGCAATATATTCTCCTACTTGCCATTACCCTAGGAGGATACTCACGGGTCTCTTTGTGAGGATCCTGGGGATCCTCCAATCAGATCCGTTCATTGTATATGTGAGGTCGGAAATCATTATAAATTTTTTTATTTAAAATTGAATATAAACAATATCTGAAAAAAACTGGCCACATGATATACGATGAACGGATGTGATTGGAGAATCTCCAGATTCTCACATAGAGGATCCTAGTATCCTACGAGAATCCTCTCTCTCCACTACCTAATCCAACGGTGTCCAATCCGGTTAAATGCAACACAAAAAGGATAAAGGGGTTCTAACCCAATAAGCATATTGCATTTGGGAAAGGTCTAGCCCTGCCCAACAACCCTAGACCCCAAAAGTACGGGGAAATTAATAAACACGTGTTTATTTTTTACTGTATAATTGAATAAAACAAAAAAGAATTAAGAGATAAAAAAAAAAAAACAAGATGTGCAAATGGAAAAAAATGGTGTGTAGAAATAGGATGTAGCTATAATATCCCGTGAATTTAAGTTCAACATAAATGAAGTAGATGAAGATTACGAAGGTATATAGTATGTTTCTCTAAATTTCACTCATTTATTTTACACATCATTAAATACCACGCAGTATTGTAGAATCTCCGGCAGAAATCATTTGCCTTGAATGGTGTGAACTTTCAACTTTGTGGTGGCTAAACCTAAAAAGGCAAAACCATTAAATCATTGCGGCTTGCTGGCACTGTGAAAGGGCTGTGAATGTAACTGGAAGGGGCGGCAACTGCATAGACTTATTAGAGCCGCAAAAGGAGTCGCATCTCTGCCCAAAAAAATAATTAAAAAGAAAGAATTGTGGGTTGGATTTTGGTTTTGGTTCCCGGCGGCAGCCGCAGCCACCTTGGCTCTGGAGGAGGAGGAGGACACTTGTTAGTTATTGGGTTAACAAATGAGATGAGCTTTGTACCGTGAAATTAAATGCATCAGTAACTTTTTCACGAAAGAACAACTTATATGACATATGTACATGTCTTAATTTTATTGGCACGTGACGCTACTGTGTCAATTTATTTGTGTTTGTAAGTTCTTCTCTTCCCTCATGTACTTATTTGGTATTAACAACAACAAAAAAAGTATAGCAAGCTGATAGTTGCATTCAATTGGATGTGAGAGAGGGAATATTTTTCAGACGAAATGAAATAAATGGGGGCTTAGTTTAGCAGATTGATGGTTTCATATAAAACATTTGAATTTCCAGTCCAGTTGAACAATTTATACATCTTAGTAAAAGTGCTACACTCTAAGACCAACTCCAATGCTGGACTAAAAGCTAAAGTACCCTTCAAAATTTCTCCCCAAACCCACTCCAACCCAAGGGGAAAATTTGGGCTAAATGCTAAATGCTAAACCAAGGTCAAATTCCCCCCAAAATTTAGCCCATAAATCGGAGTGGACTCCATCCAATATTTATCGGAATTTAAATTTTTTTAGATTAAAATGTTCATAAAATTAATTTACGACAGTGTCCATATTTATTTATTTATTTAAAATTTAATTTAACAAAAAAAATAGCCTAAGTTTATTCTTTAATAATCTCGGGCTAGAATTTTATGCTAGAACGGTTGGAGCAGAAAAACTGTTTTTGGGCTAAAAGCTAAATTTTCCGGGCTAAAATATTTGACTTTTAGCCCAACCATTGGAGATGGTCTAAGGATGGGCAATTCTCTGTTCATTTGCGAATTTCCGGCGCATTTTTAATTTTTTACACAAACAAAAAATCCAAAACGTTTATTCATTAGATAAGAAACGACTTTACTATGTAAAATTAAAAGAAACACTTTCATGCGTAGTCTATTTTTTTTACGTTGTAGTTGTCTTTTTTTCCCTTGTAAGGGCAACGTGTCTCTTACTCTCTCTGAAGCTCCAAAACCATAGCTCCATTTTTATGTGTTGAAGCTGCTTCCCCCTAGCTCATCCATCTTCCACTCTTGTAAGTAGATCTGACAATTTCTTACACGACCCGTTAACACGACACGTAAACGACATGAAAATAACGGGTTTCGGATCAACACGATAACTAATCGGATCATTATCGTGTCACACGATAATAACCCGTTAATAACAGGTCCTTAACAGGTTTACACGAGAGTGACACGCGAGTAACCTGTTTCGACACGATAAGAAAAAAGTTATTTTGATGATTTTAAATTTTTAAACTACTAAAAAAACTTACTATAAAATACAATAGATATAATGAATATGTATATATTGTTTATTAATTATTATTCTATATAAATTTTAAAATTTAATTTACTTATTTATGTATTTTTATAGTATATTATAGGCAAAGATTAAGATTAAAAATCATAAAACACATTAAAAATAAAAATATCAAGCAATTTAAAAATACCAAACACATTAAAAAAATTATAATAATTAATTTACATGTGCGAAAAATATGAAAAAAAATATGCAAACGCTTGAATTTTTAAAACCATACAAACTCTCATGAATAGTATTTTTAAGGGAGTTCAAAATAAATAAAATTCATAATCATTAATGTATAAGTCTAAAAGATGTGAAAACATAATAAACGTTCCTAATTGCAACCTTAACGCTTAGATGATGGTTACATAGTCATTTAGATTTTTAAAACCCTCCAAATCTCATGAACAATGTTTTTATTGGAGTGCAAAGTTAATAATAATTATTGTAAAAATGTGAAAAATGTAATCATTCGTAATGAAAAGTTTTACAACTTTCATGAAGGGGTCAACTCTGAAATTTAGTATATATATACTAATTTAGTATTATGTTTTACATTTTTTTGGGTCAAAGTATGTTTTTCATTTTCATTTTTATTGATTTAAAATATATTTTTCTTAATAAGTAACGAGTCGAGTCATATTACTTGATAATATTAACGGATTGATTTTGAGTCGGGTCATATTACCTGTTTACTTTAACGGGTATTACACGACACGACCCGTTAAATTATCGGGTATGACACGAAAACGACACGAATGTCAGGTCTACTTGTAAGGACAAGTGAAAACGATATTCAGATTTAAAACAAAATGAATAAGTCTAAAAGATGTGAAAACATAATAAACGTTCCTAATTGCAACCTCAACGCTTAGATTACGGTTACATAGTCATTTAGATTTTTAAAACCCTCCAAATCTCATGAACAATGTTTTTTATTGGAGTGCAAAGTTAATAATAATTATTGTAAAAGTGTGAAAAATGTAATCATTCGTAATGAAAAGTTTTACAACTTTCATAAAGGGGTCAACTCTGAAATTTAGTATATATATACTAATTTAGTATTATGTTTTACATTTTTTTGGGTCAAAGTACGTTTTTCATTTTCATTTTTATTGATTTAAAATATATTTTTCTTAATAAGTAACGAGTCGAGTCATATTACCTGATAATATTAACGGATTGATTTTGAGTCGGGTCATATTACCCGTTTACTTTAACGGGTATTACACGACACGACCAGTTAAATTATCGGGTATGACACGAAAACGACACGAATGTCAGGTCTACTTGTAAGGACAAGTGAAAACGATAATCAGATTTAAAACAAAATGAAATAAAACAGGAGAGAGCACGCCCGGTGGGACTCGAACCCACAATCGCCTGATTAGAAGTCAGATGCCTTATCCATTAGGCCACGGGCGCTACTTATTAAATTTGCCCGAAACATTAGTAAATGTAGACAAGTCTGTCCATATATTGGGTCATTATGGACCCATCGGGAACAAACCAATGCAGTTTTACAGTGCTTTTCAATTGAATTTATCCAAAATGGTAGCGCTCAATTTATCAAGTTAAAAGCTTAAATTCAAAATTCTCCATCTGCATTGAGTAATTTTATAGAGTCGTAACACAACCTTCAAAATCGCACATTAATTTCCACAACAAGATTTGAATGATCATATATCAGCTCAAGAACATATACAAAATGTTATTTCGCTCCGATGTTTTTCTGAAAATTTTGCACTGCAAAAGTGAGAGGCCATTGACCTTTCTCTTCTATACTACCAAAATTAGAGGGATATGGAGACAATGGAAAAAACAGGGTAAAAAAAATGTTGCGAAGATACAACTGGACAGCTATCAACCCAGTATTGATGCTAGGAATTTGTCTCTCTCTCCATGTTGTTGCAATAGTCACCAAGACCGACAATTTCTATGAGCATATCACACTGCACAAGTCATTCACCCGATCTTGAGAGACGTTCGTGTACGGAAGAACCCTGAAGTTCCCATTGCTCATACAGGTCAAAGTCAGCTGTTCATTGCTCACCATGGTCTGCAGCATTCAAGGTCAATCATAAGGAATTCAAATTAGAACTCGTTTGGCTGCATTTGAAGTGAGTGACGAGGAGGAAGAGTAACTTTCAAATGGAAAAATGTTAATGCCGCTTGAGTGCACTGGAAGTGAGTGACTACTCATTATGCTAAAATGTGAATGAAACAGACAAGCTAGTCCATCATTATGCATTCACTCGTAAAATGTCAATGAAACAGACAAGCTAGTCCATCATAAATTGTTCTAGCATCTAACACTATTCTCATCATATGTGCTGCATTGCACTAATGTAGCCTAGTGTATCAGTTACCAACGGAATTCATAATGTCCATTATCTTCCCAAGCTCACAGACAAGACAAAAACATTCTTTTCCATTGTTTTTTTACGCAATTAGAATTCTGATCTTTCCCTATCAGTCCCTTTAGATGATTAATTTTGTACTGTAAGAATCCCCCTGTAGTGCTTTCTGCTCAGGTTGATTTGATGCTAAATGACTATTAAACACTGTAACTGGAATTTATATGTATCTTTTCTTACTCTCGGCAAGCTTTACTCCTTATTAATCGTACAGTGGACCGAGATTCTTCTCCAGAAACCAGTGCATAAAATTGAATTGCAGTGTCTCAGTCTCTTAACATGGCAAGCTTTATATTCAGGATTACTCCTTATTAACATTGTGAAGAAAGAAACTCGTGCAAAAAATTGAAATGCAGTATCTCTTCTCATGCTAATTTATTTTTCATCTAATCTAATTTTAGATTGCTAAAATCAGGATTATACATGTTAAGGTACTAGGATCAGATAAATACATACCTCACAAAAAGTTTCCATGTCCCTGCAGCTCCATCCTTTGAAAGGGATACAATCAACATACCGGCACCACCCGCAGTACTGGTTCAGGTCAATGCCTTGCAGAACTGCAACAAGACATCCAGCAAGCCTGCAGATCACATAGCAAAGCTCCTCTTATAAAACTCATGCCAAATTTAAACCGATAAGTAACAACAATGTACAGAATTTTCCATAAACAGGAGAACCACTCACATAACACCAAAGAGAACAAAAGCCACACTCCTATAAACTGGTCTGTCCAGCTTCAGCCTCATCCTCAACTTGATAGAACTTTTGAGATCATAATCAAGGAGGCCTCCTTTCTCTTGAGCCGGTTCTCTGACCTTAGGACTGGATAAAAGCACAGATCCAAGTAGGAACCCTGATATAAAGCCTCCAATGCTCGAAAAGTTGTCCACATAAGGTAGCAAGCCGAGGAGAAAATTCCCAATGGAGACAAATAGAACTGATACTAGAGCTGTGAACTGTAACAAAACGAAGGAGGAATCATTACATGCTATAATTAGATAAGAAGAAAGGATCTCAATCTGAATGAGAAAAGCAGAGGGTGGGATACCTTATTGGTGTACATTTCCCAGTTCTGAATCAGTGCGGCAAGTGTAGCTCCAAGTAACCCATATAGAGCTCCAGAAGCACCAACTGCCGGGTGTTTCTCAACAAAGAGTGCAGCCACCAACGTACCAACAAAAGCAGAGAGTATATAGATTAACCCTGCCATTACTGTTTGAAGGAAACAAATTGGGAATATCAGTGTCTAAAAATTACAAGAGCTACACACAGCCTTATTGATCTTGCAAAATAATGTGTACAAATTGAAATGGGAAGGAAAATCTACATGGTCCAAACTCTTGCTCCAAATGAGTTCCAACAAACACGACACTGCAAAGGTTGATCACAAGGTGGATGGCTCCGGCGTGCAGACATGGAAATGTGAAAAGACGCCATGTTTGGCGATTCTCTGTCAAAAAAGTCCGTCGAAGAGCTCCCATTTCATCAAGCCTGCAATACCACTATCAATTACGGATCGAAACCAGTATAGGAAGCCCTCTACCAAAGACTACAAACAAGTTCATAGAGGCCTCTCACTTCTCAAGCACAGCTTTTAGAATCACTATTTTAACAATTTGATAGGTAAGGCCAAATTCTAAGACCACAAAATCAGCAAAACATCGATTTTATGGCCCAAAAACCTTCAATTGATCATAAACTTAAGAACCAAACGCGTTATGTAAGAAAATTTCCAGAATTTACAATAATTTGGTATAACCCTTTGATGAAACTTCAAAATAACGGAGCAAATTATGCATAAAGATAAAAGCTTTTTTTATTTTCTCAGCAACCAAACAGAGGAAACCCGATTAAACCCTCAATACACCCAGAAACACAGAAGATTAAATGATTAAGATGGATGGTCTCGGAAACCCTAACAATTATTTGCGACATTTTCTCAGCAACCATCCAAACAGAGAGAACCCACCTAAACCCACACAAGATTTCGCCAAGAAAACTCATCTTCTTTTGAAACCAAACAAAAATTAAAGCTTGTAATCAAGAACGAGAGAATCACACTCACGTGGAAGCGGAAGGGCCGAGCAGCGGGTTCTCAGAGAGCGGCTGAAACGACAGCCGGCCAAAGGCTTTGAAGGCGCAGTCGCCACCAGACTTGTGCCAGCAGTCGTTGACGACCATGGTCGCCGTGAAGGCCACGATGTGTAGGATCACGAAGAGAGATATGAGCCAAGTGTCGGCTCGACGGCGGCGAGTGCGACGGTAGCGGGAGGCGAAGAAGGAGAGCTTGGGTTCTTGAAGAGTTTCGGGAGCTGATTCAGCGTGGAATGGAAGCGGTGGAGGCTTGATGTCGATCTGGGTCTGAAGCTTTGATGGGTCGGCGGCCATTGTTGGTTGGTCTCTCTCTCTTCTCTCTGCAAGAATGTGGGGAAATGGGTTTTCTTGGAGAAGACGACTCACTGATTTCCAGCTGTAAGCGGTCGGGCTCTGGCGGGAAGGCTCTTTAAACCGTTTTTGTAGCGTACTGAAATAGCTGAAACGACGTCGGACAAGAGCTTTTTATTGTAGTTGAGATAACTATCCACAAAAGCAGATAATTAATGACCGGATCCGTGGCGCAATGGTAGCGCGTCTGACTCCAGATCAGAAGGTTGCGTGTTCGATTCACGTCGGGTTCAATGCCCAATCCTGGTTTCTTTTTTATTTATTTTTTATGTTCATTTTGGTTGGTATATTGTCAAAATAAATAAAAACTCTCACATTCTTTCTTTTTGCATAATTTCCATGTTATAATTAGTTGCATTCTCCTAATCTTTTAAATTGTTTATTTTATTTTATTTTATGTTTTATAAGAGAACTAGTGTTAGGATGATAAAAGTGATGTTACATAAAAAATAAAATACAAAAACTTCTAGATCACAAAAGTTGAAATGTGTATTTTAAAATGGCACATGTTAGCGATTCTTTCAAAAGAGAAATTTGATTTGTTCTACCAACTTTCTGAAATTCTTAATTTATAAGTCATTTGCAAGGCATATAACTTATATTCATGATTATTTGAGACATTTCAACATCTCACTTCTCTTCTAATAAGTTGCCCCTTCATAAGAATAATTCTTGGGTTTCCCAAAACGGACAAAAGAGGGTTGATCAATTATATGAGGATCAATTAGTTGCCTTTGCAGCTTGGAAAAGGAAAACGGAATGCACTCACTTCTTTGTATTTCAAAGTGAAGATGATTAAAAAATATAGTCATTGGAGACCTTCCACTCTATAGTAAAGTTGGATGATATTATTTATGTTGATAAAATGTGTATAAGTTTATATGACATTTTAGTTTATGATATTCACGTTTGAGTTTTTAGATAAATTTTGTGTTATCCTATGTACTACGTTATCAGTTATATATTCTTAAAAATACAACAACCAAACTTCGGGGTGCGCAAACGGGACTTTGACTCCCGAGACGAGGAGGATTCAAGCGGTTCAGGGTGGGTATAAGACGGGTCCAATTTTTTTAAATTTGAAACAGGACTGGGTGGGGAGGTCCAAATTGCTAAAGAAATGGCCTCCCGACCCGAACCGTATCCACTGTCAAATATGTGGACATTAATCTCCACCGTTGATTAAATCTCCCACAACCAACATCTCAGTCACTCCAGTGCCTCTCAAGGCTCGAATCGAATCACACTGTCACACACATTTTACTAAAACCCATCCGCCAATCAACAAAGTTTCATAATACCTTCTTCTTCTACCGCCGATTTTCTCCCAATTTTGCTCAGGTACTCCTTAATTTTCGTTGTCCTTAATCTTTCACGTATCTTAACACCTAATCAATTTCAATTTCCATCATCGGATTTTATTAGGGCTTGCGGTGGTAACTGAAAACCATACCCTTTTCAGACTTGCGCTGCTCGACGCTTGCGATCGCTGACGACGTCGGAAGAATTTCCGGTGAGTGTATTTGCTTCCCACGATCAGTCCAATGAAATTCGGAAATTTGAGATTTGTGGTATTAATTGGGCACATTTGGAATGCAATGCTTGCTTCTACAACTATAACCCCAAATAATTGCACCCGGAATTGGATTCTATGGAACCAAACAAAGATTTGGCGCTGCACCTGCAAATTCCATTTTTTAGGTTCACCTGCTTTAGTTTATTTCCTGCTTGATGCACAGTTTGAAGGGAACATGTGAAAATTCAGGCTGGACCGGTGGACCAGTAGGGTTCGGTCTGTCCCAAACAGGCCAGGTTAGGTCAGGTTTTAATTTCAAATTTTTATCAACCGTCCTGGCTGTTTCGTTTCGTTTTCAAATGGTCTGGTTCCACCTGTTTTGGGCCCGGTCCGTGCCCTCCGCTCCCCACTCCAACCCCCCACTCCAAACTCGAGTCGAAGTAAGACATTTCATTTTAAAATAAGTAGGACTCAAACTTACGAAAATCACCAATATCTTCCCACTTTAATTTTTATTTTTTATGGCCGGCTGTGCTTTATAATATGAAATGGTGTGCGGTGAAGCATCAACACGTACATAAAATAAGTGTAGTGGAGATGAACATACTTCGTTGAATGTGTGAGCACACAAGAAAGGATAAGATTAGAAATGAGGATATCTGAGGTAAACTATGAGTAATCGAAATTGAAGGAAAGATGAGAGAAAATCAGTTTCGGTGATTTGGACATGGGAAACGAAGGCCTATTGGCGTTCCAGTTAAAAGATCCGATTATAGGATAGACGTTCAGGGCCAAAGGGATAGAGAAAGATTTAGGAAGACTTTGAAAGAGATTCTAAGAAAAAAAATAGGGTCAAAGGGGTAGAGGAAGACCTAGGAAGACTTTGGAAGAAATTCTAAGAAAATATTTAGAGTACTTAGATCTAACGGAAAACGTGATATAGAACCGAGCATAATGACGTTCTAGGATTCATATAATCGATCCCACTTGGTGGGAAAAAACTTTTCTTGTTGTTGTTATATGTGATTTTGATTTTGTTTAATATTTATTTAATTTTCATCACACGTGATGGTTAAATTTTTTTTTTTTTTTTTAAATAATAAAAAATAATGTCTAGCTATCAACTGTGAAATTACGTGGTGTAAAAATATGTTTAAATATTTGGCCTCCACACGCTTCCTTTACCACCTACCAAGTTGGACTGCCGAAATAAAGCCGGTGGGGTCAAACTTTGATTAGATCTTCATATTTAACCGTTCACAGTCACGTCTTTATCCGTTGATATTCATCGATTATAATATTTTCGCGGGAATCAACGGCTACGAAACGCTTCATCCTTCCATTCTTCCCAGAAGTTTGAATCGCCGAATCGAAAGACAAACCCACTTCGATTTTCATCAGCTGCTCTCAGCCCTCTCACTCCAGGTAGTTTTTCTTTTGGGAAAATTTTCCAATTGGGATCATTGCCCTGCATTTGGATTTTGAATTTCTTCTCAATTCAAATATATATGTGGAATTTCATCACTAATTTGTTTATTTATTTTTCCTGATTTGTAATGAATTTCTGGTCCCAGCATACATATATGGGTTTTTGGAATTTGAAGAATTTTTGTTCCCCATTTTACATTCACCTTTACCTCATGATCCTTGGGGTTTTTTTTTTTTTTTTTAACTTTGTGTGGTAATATTTATCTGAAAAATAATGGGTTTCATTTAGTTTCATTTCTGCCATGATGAAAATCTGATATTTTAGTCGTTTTCCTACTTATATGTGGTTATTAATTATGTTTATGTGAAAATTGAGATATATTTTGTGGGGTTTGACAAGGAATTGGAGGTAGGGAAATCTCAAATGGCTCTAACAAATGGGTTGGAAGTTCAAAGGGAAATCCTGGATGCCGAAATCAAGTCATTTTTTGACTCAGCTCCTCCTTTGAAGGACAGCGATGATATCAGTGGAAAACTTGAGGAATTTGTGAAGAAGAATTCAGTACCTTCCGGTATGTCTACCTTTTGATTTGTCGCGCATTGTATTTGTCATTTCTTTTCGTGGGTGATAGATTAAGTGGATTTTGATCCATTTGAAATGTGATGTAGAAAGTGGAGGAGTTAGGAGGGTTGTGTGTGTGACATCAGGTGGCACTACGGTTCCTCTAGAGCAACGATGTGTTCGCTACATTGACAACTTTAGCTCAGGTCACAGAGGAGCGGCATCCACAGAGTACATCATCTTACAAATCAATAAATATGCCACCTTTAGAAATACGGACTTATGGATTAGACTTGTCTGATAACATTGCAGGTACTTTTTGAAGGCAGGTTATGCTGTTATCTTTCTATATCGAAGGTAATTTCTGATTCTAGCATTTAAATTTCATTTAGTCATTTCAACAATTTTCCACGATAGAAGAGAATTATTACTAAACTATTTGGATTATCCACAATGTTATGCAGGGGTAGTTGCCAGCCATATTGCAGATCTCTTCCCGATGATCCTTTGCTTGAAAGTTTTGAATATACGGATGACTCAAATATTAAAGGTTTGTAGTTATTGTCTGCAGATTGATTATATGTGTTTTTCTTTTTCTATGTAGAACAAAAATGCACATGGATGACGAAAGAGAAACTTATGTTCCCTTCTCTCTAGTTTAAGGATCAAGAATGATTCACGACCTAGTTAGCAATGAGTCTCTTACAATCCTTCAGGGCAAGTAATAAGCCTTTCCCTCCTTGACAGCTCATAGCTTTCGAGGAGTATAGGTTGATTCTTGACAATTGGAATTAGAGTGAACCACAACGTGCAGGTTCTAGTTCCATAAGATGCAAGTGGCTTGATTAAAATGCCTAGGTATACTTGCGCGTAGTGCTAAGTCATTGAAACTCTTAGATGATTGAAGCTACCCAAAAGAAGAGTCTGCCATTGGTCTAGAATCATAGAGTAGGCTGATTGAACTCAGCTTCGAAACCAGGCTGAAAGGTTATATCCAAAAAGGTTAAAGTACTTAAGCCTTGAAGACTCTAGCTTTTGAGGATCATTAGCTGGTTCAGATTGCTCTTCTTGAGGGAAAAAAGAGAACTCAATTATCAGAGGAAAAATCAAGCTGTTTTTATCTGCATTAGTAATAGAGATGCCAAACTTTCTTGTTGTCATTTACATTGCTGTTTCCATTTGTGAGTAACTAAAATATTGTTTATGCTATTTATAGGATTTGTATGTGGAGTGTCAGTATCGGAGTTTGTTTTGTGGTTGATGATTGAGTTTTGGGGAAATGTGAGACAGGAATCTTTGAAGTTTTATTTTTAGCAGCTTTGTGGTGATGTCAAAAGTCAAATCTGACTTAATATTATATAAATATTTGATGGTTCCTGTTGAGATGACTGAATTTTGTTTTCTGTTCCAGTGTGCCAGTCGCATTCAGAAGTAGTGAGGAATGCCATCACTAAAACTCATGCTGTACGACCACTTATTCCATATATTTACTTCCTTTATGTATTTTGTATGTTGACTGTTTCTCTGTAATAGTTCAATCTAACAATGGGTTATATGTGGGGATTTTTTGTTGCAGGCAGTAACAGGAGGCCTCTTGTTGAAACTTCCTTTCACAACCATATTCGAGTACCTTCAGGTTCACTTCAGTTGGTTATTAGCTTCCTGCTTTAGCACAATGTTGTAGCATGTCTCCATATAAAATTTATTATCCTATGCTTGACATCTGTCTTTGCATTTTGAGCAGATGTTGCAGATGATTGCGTTTTCAATAAGAAGTCTTGGGCCACATGCAATTCTTTATCTTGCAGCTGCAGTGTCTGACTTTTATGTTCCCTGGAAAAGCATGGTAATGGTTGAATTTTTTGAAAAGTTATGTAGTGCTTTTACTACGTTCTCTGGCTTCATTCTGTAATTCAATAGACATATAACAAAAGCTAGCCCTTCGGAAAATAGCTAGAGAACTTGGTTTTGACCTCATCATTCCTTGAATTGTGTAGAAAATGCTTGATTATGATCTTTGAAAGATTGATAGCATTTCGTTAAATACTTATTACTCGTTTTCAAGTTTTAATCTTGTATCATTATTAAGTCTCATTTAAGAATAAGCATAATCTGCGCCATTTTCTTAGCAAAGCATGATTGTGCAGGCAGAACACAAAATTCAGTCGGGATCTGGTCCATTGGACATGAGACTTGTTCAGGTGCCAAAGATGCTCTTAGTGCTGAGGAAAGACTGGGCGCCAAGGGCCTTCTGTATATCATTTAAGGTCAGATTTGAAGCTTCTGCTTATTTCTAGTTAGTATCCTATCCATAAATATACTATTTGTTAGTTCCGTTGCTGCACTTTAGTGGATGAAAATTCGCCTTTTCTTTACTTGTATCCATAGACTATCTATATGATAATCTTTAGTCGAGGGTTGTGGATGGGGCTGGGTAATGGTAGCCTGAAGATCACTTAGATATTTCTTTTGGAGGCTTTTCGTTTAACAGATTTCTAATCTGTTCTTCTGTGACATCAGACTTGCGTCGATAGTTGTCCATTATGTCTTCTGTCTCACAGAATCTTCCTCGACATGCATGGTGCAGTCATATATATCTAACATCAATATCGTACCCCTTAGCTTTGTCACATGATTTTTATCGGCTAATAAAGTTTTACAGGTTACATGATGCAGAATTACTTTTTTGGACTAAAAACCCTTGACATGCTTGCATAAACAGCTAGAGACGGATTCAAAGATTCTTTTAGAGAAGGCTGATATGGCTCTTCAGAAGTACAAGGTGCATATGGTTGTAGCGAATGAACTTTCAACCCGCAAGGAAGAGGTTGTAGTCGTCAGAAGTAATGAAAAGATATCAGTTCGCCGAAACCAATCTCCGGGTGTTGTTGATGTGGAGTGTCCACTAATTGAACTTATTGTGGGAAGGCATTCTGCGTATATCGAGAATCCTGATCTATGATGAGTATCGATTTCACCTGGCAGAAGATCAGTGCAACATACAGTTGCCATTATGTTCAAGATAGCAATATTTGGGCATTCACCGTAGCTGTTTTATGTCCGCGTACTATGTTCGAGCAAAAGATTCTAAACAAAGTTTTCTCTTGAAAGCAATCAAATTACTTGTAACACACATAACTTTTAAGGGGAGATAAAGAAGTAATTATCTCCCTTATTTCGAGGAACTGCAAAGTTCTGGTTAATAAAGCTCAAGCTCTTATTATCTTTTTTATTTCAAGCAATGGTTTGTTGGATCAGATCTGAACTAGCCATTGGCACTGTATGCAGAAACCTGTTGAGAAACTTTGAAGGTGCACGAGAACGGATGCACTAATATAATTGCAGGGTAATTTCTCGTTAATTTCTATAAATTTCTTCGACGAAAGATATATACAGATTGATTTTCTCTCGTACAATAGACGGATGGACGGATTTGTCTGCAGTGGCGATTACAAAGTGTATTCTGTAATACAAAGCCAAAGAAGGAAGTCTTGCTCTACCGTTTTTCTTCGTCCTCTGTGTCGAGCTCAAGTCCCTCTGCGGCTAAAAGCTGACCGATGAGCTTTTTCTTGTCTTCCTCTGCTTTCCTTCGCATTAGGTCCCTTTTCTTTAAGACTAGCGTGTGTCGCTTGAGGGTACTGGAGAAATACTCTGCCGAGGCCTTTTTTTCTCTTGCCAGGATTCTCTTCTCTTCATCTGGGTCAACCTGGATGCCGAATACATCGACCCTAGGAAATCAGTTACAGAGAAATGCAGCCGAAACAAAGACACGATAGCTTTATCCGAATTTCTAACAATAAGATCATAGAGAGGAGCACGAGATTCTGAATAGTGTTTGATCGGTAATGATAAGAGACAAATAGAATATATGATTCCCGTTTATGTTTTTTTGCATCCTGCAAAAGGCTGGGCTTGCAGTATTTATCAAACAGGTAGAATGGAGAACTTCCATTTTTATTTCTGAACTACAGAAACTATGTTTAACAGCTGATTCGTGTACTAAGAGAATGATTCTATACCTTGGAACGAGAAAGTCGACGTGCGCGAATATTCATCTCACGCTGCTGTTGCTCTTGCCAAGCTGCTATTGCCATATCACCTCGCTGATCAAAAGCTTTTCGCTTTTTAATTAGCCATTCCATCCATGCTTGAGATGCCTGATACAATTGTGCACACAAAGAAATCGTTAAAAAACAACGAAAATACGAGCTGGTCTGATTAATGCAACTCGTGAATCTATTCTACATTTTCCTATATCTATCCTAAAAAGAATAAGCAAGAAAGTACAAAGCAACTTATATGCAAACTTCAAATCTTACTTTCATTGGGTTGAGTCGGTTATCCCTATCATATTGGCCCCTCTTCTCGTCATCCATGAGCAACTCATAAGCAGCTTGAATCTTAATAAATCTAGCTTCAGCTGTTTCCCCATCCTCTAGAGTCCCTCTACCATTGTAAACTTGAAAAAGGAAAGAAAACTAGATCAACTCCAATTTTCAACTTTCAAGCAAAAACCAATACACAAAAGAAGACGGCACAAAATATTGTAAAGAGCACATTTACTGACGATCTAACTTTTAAAGGTAGAAACCAATACGTGCAGCAACCTAATACGCAATGAAAGGCGAAAAGCAACGTCTGATATCAGTTTAAAAAACATGACACGAAAATTAGGCCACCTTGAATTGGATTCGAGGTATATTGAGGGAAGACATGGAGGGCAACTTCGAAATTTTGTCCAAGTTGAATGAATTACATAGATTTGTCAGAAAACTTATCCCTCCTTCAGCTTAGACAAAATTTGGAAGTCGGCCTTCGTTTCTTACACTAGCTAGTCATCCAATTCCAATTCCAATTCTACACACCAAACGTGGCTGCAAGGAATAAAAACAACTCCCAATGCCATAGGGCCCTTTTGCACGATAGCTCTGTTGCACACAAAGTGCAAAAGGTTTCTTCAAGTTGAAACTAACAAAGCTTTTACAAAAGGGTTTCTGCGTCTCGCCATATTAAAGCAATAATTGTTTACACATATTACTTGTGATAGCAGTCACCACTACCAAAGTAGCAATTCACAATTTCACAGACATGAAATCGAAAACTTGGAAAAGCATTTGGAAACAAGACAAGGGAACAAACCATCCGGATGATAAAACTTGGCCAGCCGTCTGTAAGCAATCTTTATCTGGTCATCGTCAGCGTCCCTCTCTAATTCTGCGTTTCAAAAAACAAAAAAAATTCAAAAACCAAAAAGTCAGAAACAGTGAAAACGTTGCAAATTCCAGAATTTACAAAACCAAAGATCAGAGCTTAATTCAATTACCAAGAGTTTCGTAGGGAGATTTGGGGTGGTCCCAACTGGAAGCCCGAACCACGGTCCGTCTCTGATTGACCCGGAACCACGACCCGCCCCAATTCAATCTCGCGAAATCGGACACCGGAGGAAAGCGAGGGCTGCAATTAGGATTTCGAAACGAAACCCTAGAACTGAAGCGAGCTTGGTGTCTGCAATACACGAAGGAGGTTAAGACCGTGTGGGGCCTACACATGGTTCTCAAATTGCTCATTTTTTTGGTTCCTGTTCAGGTACTTCTCAGGCTGTCGGATCGGGGCTCCGACCGAATTGGAAAGAATTGGATCCAACAAAATTGGAAATGGAAATTAGGGTTTTGAATTTGGGGGTGAGAAGGTTTAGAGGCGTGAAGGAAGTGGAAAGGTTCTGATAATGAATATTTTCAGAATCTGACTGAATCTGGGTTTCTTTGTTTTATTTGTAATTTTGGCTTTTTATATTTTCGCCTTTTATTTATTTTTTTTCCCGGGAAATTTTCTGGACAGAGGCCTCCTGCAGCATGACAGTTAGGATCTTGGACTTACCCGCCAAAGGAGAGAATATAAATGAAGGGTAATGTTAGGTAGGTCAAAATTTTAAATTAAATAATTTAGTTGAAGATGATTAGCTTATTACTTATGTGTTGATTAACGTGTTTTTCTTCTGTTGATAACACATCATTTGATTTGCAAAATTGGTTTAAAATTTTGATCTCTCTAACATTACTTATAAGTAAAAGACGTTTATTAATATTTAAGTAATAAATTAATCATTCACTTCCTGTCCTTTAGTTTTCAAAATGTTGTCTATAAATTTAGTCTTCCTAGCATTACCTTATATAAAAAGAGTACCCCAAACTATGGTATTTTTCAACTTATCTTTTATTTTTATTTTTTATGCATGAGTTAGTCATTTAGTTCAAATTCATCATAAACGAGAATCAAATTCAAAACCTCACTTATAAGTGAAGATAAAGAATGTCAATAAATCGTTATACTAAGTAATGTGATAATTGTTATTAAATTGTTGACCAAAAATGCACATTTAGATATACATATATATATATATATATTTTGTCCTAGTTGTATGCCTTATTGTGTTGGTATCTTTTTTAGCGTAACACAAAATAATGTTATATATAGCAGCGTCAGCTAAGTTTTTCTCCTCATCTTACATGACTTTTGATGTTCAGATTTCAATTTTTAAGATCAATAGGGGAACTTTCAATCTCATAGCTGGACTTAAATGTGTGTTTTGAATTGGTAATACTCGGGCACTAAACTTGTTCATATTTACACTTGTGAACTACATGTATCAATGGAGACTAGGTGGCAGCTGACTATATCAGTTCATGGGCAGAGCAGGCGCTGAGGGGTTGCAAGTGGTGCTACCGCAGAGGGCCCCCATCTCGGAAGGGCCCCTGATTTTTCAATTTTGCATGCATATACGTATATATAGTAGTAAGTGTAGAATATTACAAACTTGAGTCTTAGGACAAGTGGAATTATTGCTTCTTTACATCATCCTAGAGAGTCAGAGTTTGAATTTTCATGTTATTATGTGGAATTTTTATATTATTTTGTGGAAGCTTATGCATTTAATAAAAATATAAACTGAAAAAATGATGGAGATAAGTTTCGAACCATTCCACCTTTTCACTTGTTGATTTGTTAAATTTGTTTGTACTATTAGAATTTATAGAAGCTCAATTGAAAACTAAAATTATTATTTTGAACAAAAAAATTAAAAAAAATTAAATTCTTAGTACTTTTTAGGATCTCTAATTCATTTTCACACAGGACTTCTGAAATCTCAGGACGGGCTCTGTTCACGGGGTCAAGCAGTCCAACGAGAATACAGGGGATGTGGCCGGTGAAAGTCTTCCCTCCGTGCAAGCAACCCTCGCGTTGCTTGGTGCGCGTCATTAAGATTCGAGAGAGTTTCTGCAGAGTTTTCTGCCGAAGATCATCATATGCCTGCCTTGGACAAGATAAAAATTGGTAACTAGCATAAGTATATGGGTAGCTTGAAAGCATGGATCTCATGTTTAAACAAAAAAAATTAAAAAAAAAAAACAAAAAAAAAAAAAGCATGGCTCTCATGAAGCCACTAATGCCTCAAAACAAATAACATAAATATTTGGTCTTTTCAAAACCTGAATTTCATAAGTAAATTTTAGTGATATATCACGCAACATATATTTATTTTTCCCATCACACTTTGTGTGATAAATGTGTTTGCATAATATTTAGTTGATTGGTGCATATTTATATTTTGATCGATCATTGTAAAAAATAAACTCTAAACTCTATAAACTTTGAGGTATGGGAGAAAACTAAAAATTAACTACACATTCAAGAATTAGTTGATTTTATTAATAATGCAGAACAAATGAACTATAACAGTTGCAAAAAGTTTAAGAAATCCTAACTGCCTATCTTGGTAATTAATTATATATTAATTAAATTCAAAATTAATTAATTAATTAAGGCCATTAGAGCAACTCCAGCCCAAAGAAAATGGACTGGCACCAAGTGAAGAAAATGGACTGGCACCAAGTGAATCTGCTCCAGCCCGTGCAATTGACTGGCACCCAGCCCGTGCCAGTCAACAGCCCAGCCCAAAATGGACAGACCCATAAGCCGGTCTGTTTCTGGCGCGTGCAACACACGCGGTGCCCGGGGCGCGTAGCCGACAGGCTGTGCAGGCGCTGGGGCCCGCGTGCAGGCCCACTTGCAGTCGTCCGGGGTGAAGGATACGTGGCCTCCTCAGAGCCGTTGGATTTCCAACGGCTAGTTTTTTAGGCCGTTGGATTTGCAACGGTAAAAAAAATTTAAATTTAAATTTTAAATTGGACCGTCCGATCACAGATCAACGGTCCACGTTTATTTGACCAAAAA